TACCCAGTAGGGAGTGTGCAGGAGGCAGCTGATCGATGTTTCTCTCTCATCGATGTTTCTAACTCTCCATCCCTCTCCCTTCTTCTCTGTAAAAAAATCAATAAAATATATTTAAAAAAAAATAAATGGTGTAAATATTAAAAAAAAAAGAATACAACAAGAAACTGGTGTTTTTCTTACTCACAATTATAAGCCTACTTTTGCCTCCACCCTATGTATGCAGTATATTTTAATGGCTGTGTAGGTGGTTTCTAGCTCCTCCTCCATAAGACACAGCTGGTAGATTTTGTAATTTACACAGACTACAAGCTCTGCATTTGCAAATGTGTATGTCCACCTCTTGATGATAGTCATTGACCAAATCCCATGCACAGGAAGACATTTTGGGGACATTCAGTTTGATATTATCTTTTTAAAAATACATCTTATGCCCGGACCGGTTTGGCTCAGTGGATAGAGCGTCGGCCTGCGGACTCAAGGTTCCCGGGTTCGATTCCAGTCAAGAGCACGTACCTTGGTTGCGGGCACATCCCCAGTGGGAGGTGTGCAGGAGGCAGCTGGTCGATGTTTCTCTCTCATCAATGTTTCTAACTCTTTATCGCTCTCCCTTCCTCTCTGTAAAAAAAATCAATAAAATATATATTTTTAAAAAATACATCTTATGTTGGGGATTACCTTCATTTTGTGCATTCATTTGTTCTTGTGGAATCTGATACAGTGTGAGCAGTCATGTACATGTTTATGCAAAAATGTTTATTGAAGTGATTCCATTCGCATTGTGTTCTAATACTTGGAGAATTACCATCATTTTTATATAGGAAATGTCCCCTCCACCCCCTGCCTTTTTATTTTTTTTTTACAAAAACTAACTTTTTTAATGTAAAATATTTATAATAAAATGTAAAGGTGAATTCTATGCATGTTCAATAAAAACCATATCTTAAAGTTAAAAAAGATACTTTTACTGCTGCCAAAACCGGTTTGGCTCAGTGGATAGAGCATCAGCCTGCGGACTGAGAGGTCCCGGGTTCGATTCCGGTCAAGGGCATGTACCTGGGTTGCGGGCACATCCCCAGTGGGGGATGTGCAGGAGGCGGCTGATCGATGTTTCTCTCTCATCGATGTTTCTAACTCTCTCTATCTCTCTCCCTTCCTCTCTGTACAAAATCAATAAAATATATTAAAAAAAAAAAAGAATCTGTCAGCAATTGAATGGATAAAGAAAGTCTGTCGGGGATGTGCGGGAGGCAGCTGATCGATGTTTCTCTCTCATCGATGTTACTAACTCTCTATCTCTATCTCTCTCCTTTCCTCTCTGTAAAAAATCAATAAAATATATTTAAAAAAAATTGTAACAAAATACTAATATGTAAAATATACAAAGTATTCAAAAGACTCTTTAACCAAAAAATACAGTTAATAAATAGGATAAGGATGTAGAGACAATTTTTCAAAAAATGTGTACAAATGACCAACAGAAATATAGAAAATACTTTCCTCATTGATCAAGGTGGAATCCCTTACCTTCCTGCAACACTACCAAACACAAGTTCTTCCCTGTAAATTTAGTGCAGCGGGGAGTGTTGGGACTTCAAGAATGGAAGGGAGAAGGGAAACAGAACAACCCACCCCAGGACAGCAACTACCCAGGAAACTGGAAAATCAAGCAGTTCCACAGTCTACATGGGAGGACAGAGCACACCCTGGGGGATGGACCCTGGGAAATGGCAAACCAAGTCCAGGTCACTGGTGAGAGTGAGGGTCTTACCCAGCAAGGATATAAGTTCAAAGTTCTCCAGCATCACATTCAGGTACAGCTGTCTCTGACCCTCATCAAGGAGGCTCCATTCCTCCCTGGAGAAGTACAGGGCAATGTCCTCAAAGATGACCCCAACCTGTCAGAATTGAGACAATGTAAACCAGAGCTGTCTCTCAGAGAACCAGTAATTCTACTCCTTACACACCTCCCCCCACCCTCAACCTCCTCCAGGGCCCCTGGTAGGTGTGGACACCAGGCCTAATGCCAGTGCAGGCTGCTCTCTCATCACCGTCCC